CGGGGCCGCGGGGCAACGGGCTGATCCCCAGCCCGGCGCACAGCGCCCACTGCAGCCTCTACCGGACGCGGACCCTGCAAGCTCTCAGCTCGGAGAAGAAAGCCCGGAAAGCCCGCTTCTACCGCAACGGGGACAGGTACTTCAAGGGCTTGGTGTATGCCATCTCTACTGACCGCTTCCGCTCCTTCGAAGCCCTCCTCGTCGAGCTTACCCGGTCCCTGTCAGACAACGTGAACCTGCCCCAGGGTGTCCGGACCATCTACACCATCGATGGCAGCAAGAAGCTCACCAGCCTGGATGAGCTGGTGGAAGGTGAGGGTGCTCCAGTAGGCCAGGGCCAAGCAGGGTGCAGGCCGTGGGTGGTTCTGCCCTGGCATGTTGAGGTCCAGTAGGAGGTGGCATGGGGCCTGGTGGTGGGCTGCAGGCTCTCCCTGGGGTGGGCTTTCCGCTCGCTACCCTGGTCAAAGCTGAGAGAGGTCGCCTTGCTGAAAATCGGCAGCTGTGGAGCCACTGAGGGCAAGTGGGCCGGGGTTGCCTGCTGCTGCTGTGAGGTGTGATAGGCCGCATTTTCCCAGTGTGGACTGTCCACTTCTCCAACCACCCATATGAGTGCTGTCTGCATACATGGGGGTTGACTCTAATGGTAGTTAAGCAGCAGGTGCTCTTTTCATCTACAAGAACCATAGTAAAGTTCTTGGCTACCTTTCAGTCATCGCTATTTATAGGCAAGGGAAATGCTGTAATTTAGTTCTCTTAACAGTTATTACACTGTCATTGATGCTTCACAGTGGCTTAAGCTTTCCGAGAGAAAGCCCTTGTGCTGTGAAAAGGGATATTTATACCCTATTACTTATTAAAACAGACTGGTGTAAAGTCCCATTTTCAAATGTGATCAGAGTCCATATTCATAAGGGGAATTATTTACCTTGTCTGACTTCCAAAAGCATTTTCTAGAATCAGATGCTTTTCAGAATTGTCCCTAAGTAGCTTTTGATAATGGGACTTAGCTGCTAAGGTTATGTAGACCTTGCAAATCTGAGCAGAGCAGCGCTTGACTACTACTCAAAATGGGGCTAAAAGTACTTTTTTTTCTGAATTAAACATATGCCTCTTGTTTGTAGGGAATGATAATTACCAGAACAAGGAGCAGACTTCCCCCATGTTCTCTCATGATGTCTTAAAATACAGTTTAAATTCAGCATTACATGAATCAACCTTTCAAATGTAGTGGTTATGTTATGTATGCTGTGAGGTTCATAATCAGTTTGCACTTGATGCTTCTCCTCAGGTATCTAATACATCAACCACTGCAGTCTTCCACCCAGTGACTCTATATGCCAGGTGTAGCTGATTTGCATTAATGAAGAAGTACTGTTTGTAGGTCTTCTAATGCCTCCTCCTTTTTAGGCTTTCAGCTGTGTGTTCTTTAAGCTTTGAATTGGAAACTTGCCTTTTCAAAGCAGTGCTGAATCACATCTGGAGAATTTGATGAGAAAGGGAATCTGATGACCGTTATATAATCCACCAGTAAAGGCACTGTGAGTTAGGGACCAGCCACTCCAGAACATGCAAGAGGAAGGGACAGGCTACAGCATTTACTGTATCAAGGGGGTCTCACTCAAAAATGATATGCATAAAAGCGCACTTCATACTAGTAACATAGTGCCTGAGGACTTTCCCCATCATGTGATCTACCATAAGGCTGTTCCACAGTCAAAACAGAGGAAATGTGAAATGATTGCAGAGTGAAATGCTGACTCTGTGGTAATAAAATAAATGTGAAATCAACAAAAAACTTTTCCATGATTCGGTGATTAATTTAGAGATAGCTAAAAAAAAATGAGATGCTGGAGTGGGGATGGTAGGGAAATGAGATGAAGCAAAAATTGGATAAACTAATAACTCGGGGTGACTTTTGAAATGTTGCGGAAAGAATAATCTTAAGCTTTTATGGCTTAAAACAAAGACAAAATGACTTGTGGGACAACAGTATAAATGCAGTGTATACTCTCACAACTCTATTTAAGTTAATAACTGAAAGCAAAAAGTTACTTCCTGTCTTTTCAAATACTCATTGAAAGAGTGACCTTTGTCATTGCTCTTTACTGGAAGAATAAAGCAAAACGAATGTCACAATTGAAATGCCACTTCCATGCTTTCTCAGTAAAATAAAAGGGGGAAAAAAAGAGTCCCAATTACTTAGTCATCTATCCATGACCAATACAACTCTCAAGAATCTTAAGAAAATCCTGTAGCATCATAATTGGATTAGTATGTTTTCCAATTAGCATGCCAAAAACTTTACCAGTGTAAGTCTAATCACCATACAGAGAAAGAAAAGCATATACAGGGGCGGGAAGAAAGCAAACAAGTAGTGAATCCATCATTCCTTGAAATTATCTGAACTCTTTGCCAGCTGTTTTGTTCTTGAGATGCTGGATGAGGACCTGATTTGTTTTTATTTTCTGTATTTCTTGTAGTTCCAGCACAGCAAGCTTGAATTTCTGCTCTAGAATAAATACTTGAACATCGGTGATATCCTGAAGCTTGAACTGCAGTAGCACCAGAAGTAGTTTTGAATGGTGTTTTGTTGTATTGCTTTTTAATTTTCAGAAAGGAAAATAAAATTTAAGTGCTGTTGTGCCTGCCAGCTACAGGCTGAACACCACACCGAACATGGCTACGTGATGCAATAACTAATTGACTAGTCTGTTTGCACATCATTAGTGTTGTTGAACTGGTACATGAAATCACAGCAGTTCAGGTTCAGTAGTGGCAGCTCTATGAAGTGAGCAGAAGGTGAGTGCTCAGCCACCCTTGCCAAGCCAGCAAGATCTGCATTAAACCTCCCTCAACTCGAGCCTCTGTTTGTGTAGCTCTTGGATATTGACATGCCTCAGTGCAGGCAAGCTCTTTAAGGCCTGTTTGCTGTTTATCAGGTCAATATCTGTCTGGGGTATAAAAGCTGGCAGTATCAAATTCTGTATCATAACAGTCCAAACTAGCTGAATTGAGTTGCTGATGAATGCTTTTTGGGGTTTCGCTGTATTTTGCAATCTGTTTTTCCATTTATCATTTTTAAGAGGAAAATAGCTAATGCACAGACATACCGTAGATTTCAAATATTACTGTTACAGGTTGAGTCAGTTAAAAATTTGATCAGATCATGTTTATTAATCAAAAATTGACAAGCTCCATTTTAAGCATATTGCTTTTCTTAACTGGATATGAAAGTCAGAAAGCATGCTCTGCTGGATGAGCCTTAGGCAAATATCATTTATATTCCCAGCCCCTGTAGATTAGGGAACGTTATGGCTCATGAGTTTGACAGTTTTCATTGCTTTCTTAGAATGGGAGGAGTGAAGAATTTCATTGTCTGCTCCTGATCTTGTTTGAGCAGACAGATCCGGAGAGGGATGGGGACTGGGAATATTATGACTTTCTTATAGTTTTCTTTCTTTCAACTTTACTATCAGACATTACACTGCTTTTTACTTTTGAATAGGAGATTCCATGTATAATTTTACATTTTCCCTTCGGTAGCAATAATGGAATAATAGTTTCATTTTTATTCTCTACCAAAGTTAACTAATTAAGTGTTTATCCAAATCCTTCCATTTTCTTTAAAAATGTAAGCTTCCTAAAGCATGACACAATGGTAATAGTAAGAACCGTGCAGTTCTTTAGTGCTGAGGTTTGTGTTTTACACTGATGTCAGTCATGCTCTGTCTCGCTATCCTGTGCTTTCATTGTCTTGGTAGTGAAAGACGTGGAGAATCCTGATTGTTAAGGTCTGCTGCAAAGTTGGGAGACATTGTTGGATTTTGGGAGAGGAAACCAAGTGTAGACTCTATTCCTGGCAAGAAAAGTTATGTTGATTTGGCATGTGATAGGGAATTTTCCTAGTTCCCTAGGTAGGAAGCATTGTTAAGAGTCTTTGTTCTTTCAACTACAATGCTTAATTAATACAGTCCTTTATAAAATGTCAGTAGTTTTGTCTGCACAGTTGTGAAGACAATCAACAGGCACCTGTAGGGAAGTCTTTGAGCAGGAGGTGGGAAGGTTCTGAGCAGGGCAGTCCTTATGCATGGACAATACCTGCTTTAAAGAAATGGGCTCTGCCACACTAATACAGAGTAAAAGAATGTTTTTGAAATGAGGTATTGAACAATCCAAGTATTTTCTGCCTTAGATCATTGTTATTGTTACTGCATATTACTTTTTAATCCTGTTTAAGTGCCTGTGATTCTAGTTGATGCACACTGTTATATTAGGTCAAGAATATCTTTTCTCTTGTCAGGGCAAACAGATGGTAACACCAAGTAGGCAGTTTGTATTTTTGCTTCTTCCAAAAGGTATGATTACCTTCCTGTGCTAAAGCCAAAAGCTGTAATGCTTTAAAAAGAGGCAAATGTAGCAGGTTTAACAAGGAAGGGTAAAAAGGAAGGATAAAAAAAACATTAAAAGCATATGCTTCCAAATATATGTTCAAATCATTGTAGTTGCAAAGTCCTGGAGCAATGGGGTGTGGATGTGAAATACGGATGTAATTGTTAGTTAACTTCCCATCAAAGCAAAATAAAATACTTCCACCACTGTGCATCTCCTAGTTTCAGGGACAGGAGAAATGTTATTTACCTGAAAAGAGTTATTTACTTACTGTGGAGGAGGCATGTGGTATTAGGCGGGTTTGATACCAGGTGGGCTTAACTTTCTTCTGAAAGCTTTTACCCTGCCTGAGCATGGGGTTGGACCAGATGACCTCCAGAGGTCCTTTCCAGCCTCAGCTGTTCTGTGATTCTGTGAAAGCTTGTAGGAAGCTGTCATCTGAACCTCCTGATTAAATAAAGTCAAAAGAGAACTAGGAGTAATTAGTCATCTGATAAAATCCTGGTTGTCATCCCAGGTTTTAAAGAGTTCATGGGAAACTTAAATGCTGTAGATGAGGAAAGATTGTGACTTATACAGGGTTATTGGAGGTGACATGAAAGTGAAGGAATCGTAAGAAACTGATGAGGAAGTTCTGTGAAAGAAAGGAAGGAAAAAGAGATCTAAATAACTTAATCCTTCATAAAAGGGGTTGTTTTATTTTTAGATCAGTCCTTTTACACATGCCGTAAATATACTGTTCTGGAAATCTGCTCGGCTTTGTGTTACAGAACACAAAAAGGGTACTCTGCTGTGATTCCTAAAGTTAGAAGGTTAGTAGCCCTAATAACTACTGTGCTATACTGAATAAGCAGCTTTTGGCACCCTTGAAACTAATGAGTTCTACCAAAAGAAGCTGAGGAATGTGAGATGGATAGTTGAAA